AAATGAAGCAGGATGTGATTGCAGACCCAGAAGCAAAGGGGTGTGATTACCTCTATCAGCGACATAGTGCAGGCATTCTTCTGGCGTACTGCCATCAGAGCACGATACCGCGTGGCCAAGGAGATCCGAAGACAAACTTTTGGCCCGGATGAGATGTCGATTCTCGAATTACCAACAGATGGTCGGCCATACTTCTCTACCCGCCTGCCATCTACATATATGGGAAGTGTCCTCATCATGAACCGCTGTAGTATTCCTGTGGAAACCCTTTGCTCTCCTGACACAAGTATCGGGTATGTCGCATACATGCTCCGCCAGTCTACAGCACGCATTACACCATCGCTCGTGCACGATGCCTTCACAATCTTGCAGTCTCTTCCAGATCACAGCCGATTTTCAACTGCGAATATGGGCCTTGAACACATGCACGCCATGATATCCAATATGATGCTCTTCCCCACAAGTGAGATATCTTTCGGCAGCAAGTTCTTTGCCAACGAAGGATCCCCCGAGTCTATGCGGCCACAGGTTGATCGCGCTAATGGCATCTTCCGATTCCTGGCCATCTATCCCATGAAGAAGGATGGAGGCGTCGAGCTTGTTCTAGGAACCCATGCGGAGGAATTGGAAATGTTCAAAACCGATGCAGAGTTTACCAAATACGCAGATCTCGTTGATGTCTGCTGAAAAAAAAATTTTTGTGACGGGAGGATTTACCCTGACGATTTTTTGTAACGGAAAATTTTCATTTGTAAATATTAATGATTATGTTTACTGTCTGTACATGTTGTTTCTTTTAGTATATACACTGTAGTTAGTCAATTACCTGATTGCATTATTTGAATTTGAAATCCTCTATCGGGCCTATCAACAGCCCCTCTCTGCATGGTGTGGACCAATTATCAGTACTTACTAGCTGGTAACTAGCTAGCTAGTGGTTGCATTCAATTCAATCTGTGGGGCCTGTATGAAATTGACCCGATGGTTCATTTCGTTAATTACTTAGGTAACCAGTTGGCCAACTAACCAGCTAAATCCCTTCCGATTTTCTACATCAACTCTGATTCCCATTCAGGACCTGTACCGTTTCCGTTGCTGCCGCCGTTGTCATGGGGTAGAACTACACAAGCACCCACTGGCCGCAGCTCAAGGACCTGTGTCAGGCATCCCCGAGGAGAGACTACCCGGTTCAGGCGCCATCCGGCATTTTCTGCGAGGGTTCTGTACTCGTCCAGTGTTCTCTCCTTATTTCTGCAGCGGGCGAGCATTCGGATATCTGCATACCGGGCCCCTCGCCCCATACGGCCATCAAAAAGGACGGATTCCACTATAAGTACACGACTGATGCCCGTTTTTATAGTTATTGTGTCTCGAATCCGTCGAAGCAGTTTAACGCAGTCCTCATCGCCCCAGTTGTGCAAAATCCATCGTAGTAGATATACAGAGGATTCAGGTAATGGATCCTTGAAAAAATTTCCTCCAGTGATGGATGTGACTCGTTTTGCAAGAGGGTCATCCGGTGGCATACGCTGTCGAAGGATTTCCGCCGTCGATGGAAGCTCAAACGCTGCCGCTGTTGCATCTGGGAACTTCTCCAGATATGTACGGATAAAATCGCCAACGCCGGCACCAATATCGACAACGGTCTCGCTCTTGACATCCTCCCAGGGGTAATCAGCCAGGAGACCAGGGGCCTCTACTACACTTCCAGTCCCTGTAACCTTATGGAAACCGGCAGCCCTGCCAGTGTCTGCAAGGAACTGGTATATGGGTTTGTCAGTGTCATAGAAGAGCTCAGTCGCCGTCTTGGGCTGATCACTCTTGAGCTGGCTGGGCAGATGGGACAGAAGATCATAATACTCGCGAGGGAAAAAGTCAACCCAGTTGAGCCAGGTAGCCCAGTGATCTTTGCGAAGGAGGTTGGACAGCCGGTTGTTAGACAACCTGCCAGTCTGAGGGTCCTGTTGGAAATAACCCATCTCTCGGAGATAGCGGATTATCTGGGAAAGCCCTTGTTCATAGAGGCCGGCAGCGCTGGCTAGCTCGGAAATGCTACATGGCTGGAGTTTTTGGACATGGTCGGCCAAGTGATACTCTGAGGCGCAGAGCAACACTTTGCTGTTGGTAAAAGCTGCACAGAAAATCAGTACAATACAGTTATGCCGCAAGAGGAAGAGGTTGTGAATCTGTACCAAACACCCCATCTACTAAAAGCATATGGGAAGGAGTCAAAGTCAAGAGGAGCTTGTCTAGCGCTTGCACAACGTCAAGGAGCTTCTGATACACCGCAACAGATGTCCCAGGAGATGTCGGGGAGATATCATGAAAAGACCTGAGCTCTCCTGAGAGGGGGCCTTCAAGCTGCTGTAGAGCATGCTCAATATTCCATTTCAAGTGCTCAAGCTCGTTTTCCATGTCTGATTGCGTAGTAACTAGCGTTGCGCTGCACCGGGAGGGAGGGGGGTGAGTTGGGTTTTGAATCACTGTTGATATCCAAAGACGCCCTATGTTGAACAACAGCGAAAGATATACTGCGCCAGAGTATGCTGCAAATATTTCCCTCATCCTTTGTGGGCCAGGCCGAACGGGCTTCGGTGGATATTATAACAACTACGGTGCCTAGTTATACCCGCCGAGACGCCGGCTGCGGCGCCGCAATGGCTTAACTAGAACGCAACTACTAGTTAGTTCTTGCTCCATGAACGGCTGAGAGAAACCAACGGATAATCATTTGGAATCGAAGCAATCACTACTGCTAGGACATCCGTAACGAGTTAAATAGGAAATACCGACAATGAAACAGCAGGTAGAGTATCTCCTTGACCACTTTCGAGAAGAGGTACAACGATACCCAGCGTCAATTGCAATTGAGGATGGAACAAAGTCTCCAGATGAGTCAACCTGGCCAAAGGTCAGTTACGCCGAGCTTGATGCTCTATCTGATGCCTGGAGTAGACAACTGGCAGTGGACGGCGTGGGTCCGGGCTGTATAGTTCCTCTGATATCCACAAGGTCCATCGCTATGGTTGCAGCGATACTGGCAATCCTCAAGCTGCGCGCTGCGTATGTGCCCATCGACGCAGACTCATGGGGTAAGGACCGCATAAATGGAGTGCTTGCAAGAATTTCTCCGAAGATTGTTGTATCGACCGCGGCTTGTTTAGAGGGTGGCCATCCGTATCCAGTTCACTACTTTGAGCAACCTGGTATACCTAACCTGGCTCTGGGCAATGACATCAGCAACCCAAGCCATTCTCGCCGGCTATGTTATAGCGGAGACGTCCTTGCATATATCATTTTCACATCTGGAACAACAGGACAGCCAAAAGGTGTGATGGTCGGTCTAGAATCTATATCTCGCTATGTGAAGGAAGGCGGGGACCTACCGTTCAACTTCAACACCAGACACGGAACGCGGGTATTATTGATTTGTTCAATTGCTTTTGATGGTATGTTCCCCGAAATGCCGTGTTGAGAGATAGTATCTCATCTGATAAAACTGGGTAAAGTGTGCGCGGGCGTTATATTCAGCACGATATGCAATGGGGGAACCCTCATCCTTGCCGACCCGCCCACCCTTGAAGCTGCCGCTAAGACTTGTCACATCTTGCCACTAACTCCAAGCATCTTGTCTTCGTTGGATCCAGAGGCTGGGTTTGACAGAGTCGAGAAAATATTCCTTGGTGGCGAAGCTCCCCCAGAACCTTTGATCCAAGCCTGGTACTCCCCTCATAGACGGGTGTATAACTCCTATGGCCCCACGGAGACAACATGCACCGTGTTAATGAGAGAGCTTGTGGCTGGATTGCCGATAACAATTGGCTATCCTATACCATATAGCACCGTCAGTCTGCTAGATGCTGAGGGATTGGAATCTTTGGAAGGAGAGATTTGTATTTCTGGATCAGGGCTCGCCTTGGGGTATTTCGGTGACCCGGAGCGCACTGCATCCTCCTTCGTCAAGCTGAATGGGCAGAAATTGTACCGAACTGGCGACTATGGGAAACATACCAAGAATGGCATACGATTCTGTGGGCGTAAGGATAGCATGGCCAAGAATCGGGGGTTTTTGATTAACCTTGAAGGCGACGTTGAGCCTGCGTTGCTATCGTTTGAGAAGGTAACGCGTGCAACTGCTTGCATGGTCAATGGCAAGCTCATCGCATTTGTTACTCCAGTCGAAGCGAGGGACGGCCTCCGCGAATATCTCTCAGCCAACGTCCGTCATTCATGGTGCCGGACATCGTATACTCACTGGACACGTTTCCTACCACTGTAAACGGGAAAATCAGCCGGCAGAGTCTTGTGCAGATTCATGAAGCTTCCCAGGACGCTGATGATAGCTTTCTGGAAGTAGGACTTAGTGGCATTGAAACAATCCGCAGAGCCATATCCTACGTTCTCCAGCAGCCAATGAACCAGGTCACTAATACTTCATCCTTCCGGCACCTTGGAGGAAATTCCCTTGCAGCAGTTATGCTTGCTTCAGGTATAAGGAAAGCGGGTTTTGCTATTAGTGTTGGTCAGATATTATTATTGGACACTGTTGACAAAATGGCTGGAGCATTGAAAGAGGCTGGGAATGCCGCAAACCCCCCCCCCCAACGTCAGAACAGTTTGGACGTCGCCTGGGCGAGACAATTTCCAGGGCCAACTTCCCTGGGAGTGAAAGCTTCGCATCTATGACTGATATTCAGACAAGAATGGTTCGGGCAAGCATAGCTACCCCTGGGCTTTCTTTTATAAAGGCTTCATTTACCCTTGAACATCCAGGTAAAGATGACTTCACAGCCACCTTGCGTGCCACCTGGGAGTCCATATATAAACGTCATGGAATTCTGCGAACGCATTTCGTCTTGACGGAACCGGAGGTCCAGGTGGTATACCGTGACGTGAAGATCGCTTGGACAGAACGCATGGTTACAGAAACAGACTGGGACACTGTCTGTCGCGAGGAAGAGGATTTTGACCTCAACCAATTTTCAAATTTTGATCCTGGGGAGCGGTGCTCCTTGTCCAAGATAACGATTGTGACAATATCAGGCATCCGGACTCGATTTATCTGGACCGTGCACCACAGCCTGATTGATGGATGGTCTATGTCAATGTTGATAAAAGAAATGGCTTCCTACCTGGACAATAAACTGTTACCACCAACTCCTCCACAGTTCAAACATGTTGCCCTGGCTATAGATCAGTTGAGCCGCGAATATTCGAGCAAGATAGTATCATTTTGGAAAGCGTATACTGAGGGATATGTTCCCGTGCAAACACTTCGATTGCCACCTCCATCTGATATCAACGATTATAAACAGGCAACTTTAACCAAGAATCTCACAGTCAGCGTGTCTGCGTTGGAGCAGGCTGCCAGAGACCAATTCTCTGTCACGCCCGCAACTCTTCTCTATGCAGCCTGGGGTATTCTCATATCAAGATACTCCGGAACTGACCGTGCTATATTGGGCGCTGTTCTGTCTGGACGAAATTTTGAAATTCCTGGAGTGGAAAATGTCATTGGTCCCTTAATAAATACGTTACCTCTCAAAATTGATGCCAATGAGTCCCAGACGGCATTCGTTTTTGTGCGGGGAGTATTCAGAGCACTATGTGAGATTTTGCAGTATCAATGGTCTCCCTTTAACATGATCCAAGAAGGTACCGGCTATAACCCTGCAAAGCTATTTGAGACCATTTTTGCCTTGCAGTATGATTTTCCCCAAATGGAGGGGATGTTCAGCGGAGATTCTTTACCTCGAGACGTGAGGTATACCGAAGCGACCGAAATTCCCCTCACTGTTTTGTTAGATAGCTCTGACAGCAAGTTCATTGCTCGATTTATATACCGACGGTCATATTTTAGTGACAACACTATTGTACAGATGTGTCGCCATTTTGATAACCTACTAACGGGCCTTGTTAATGCTTTACCAGCCGCAAATCTTAGCACGGTCACCCGTACGATGTTTAGCGCTCCAGAGTACCAGGCATTAACAGCAAAGGCATTGCCGCCAAATTGTCTTTCTCTCGAGGGAAGCCTATCAGATGCAATCGAGAAAGCCATCGAGTGCTACCCAAACGTATGCGCTGTGGAAGGCTTATCACGCTCCTTATCATACCATGAATTCGGTAGGGTAACAGCAAAAATTGCCGAACAGCTTAGAAAGTCCATCAAATTAGGGGATGTGGTATGTGTAATCTGTGACGGCTCCGTTACCTGGTTAATTGCAATGATTGCCGTTATCAGAGCCGGTGCCGTTTACTGTCCGATCGACCAGAAGCTTCCACGGGCAAGAATGAAGTACATGGTTGAAAACAGCAGTGCATCATTGATAATTCACTGTAATGCGAAAAAAGATCTGGTGGTCAATGGCACCCCTTGTTTCAACATCATCAAAGCCATGACAGAGATGGCATATACAACAACGACTAAATGTAGGGAGAGTGCTCCCACCGCTGATGATGTAGCATGCTTGATTTACACTTCAGGCAGTACTGGGTTTCCCAAAGGTAAAATATCCATGCGCCGCCAGATTTCCTAACGTTTCTCGAGGCTGGAGGCTAACCTGTCCCTAGGTATTCCCTTGAAACATAAGGGTATCCTGAATGTGATCTCTCACGAAAATGGGAGGCTATGTTCTACTCCTGGACAGCGAAACGCACAGATGTTATCACTCGGTTTCGATTGCTGTATAAAAGAGGTGTTTGCTAGCCTTTGTTTCGGAGCAACTCTAGTCCTTAAAGATCCAGCAAACCCGATAGCCCATCTTTCTCGAGTCGATGCTACCATGGCCACTGCCTCTTTGCTCGCAACCTTAGAGCCAGACGATTTCCCGAGACTGGCAGTGATCATGGTTGCTGGAGAAGCTCTGTCCCAAAGCCTCGCGGATAAATGGGCTACAGGGAGGACACTGATAAACGGGTATGCTCCCGCTGAAAGTACACTTATTGCAATGGTGGCAACAATATCTCCTGGGGATAAGGTATCAATTGGACGACCATTAACGGGAATGTCTTGTTACATTTTGGACTCCAAGCAGCGGCCGGCCCCGATTGGAGTGAGTGGAGAGATATGCCTATCTGGAATTCAGATCACATCGGGATATCTCTCCAATGAGAAGGAAACAGCTAAGCGATTTCTTCGAGACCCATTTAACCCCGACCAAGCCATGTTTCGTACTGGTGACATTGGCCGCCTAGGAGATGATGGCAATATTCGTACTGGTGACATTGGCCGCCTAGGAGATGATGGCAATATCAACTTTGTTGGCCGCGAGGATAACCAGATTAAACTACGAGGTTTCCGGATAGACCTTGGGGAAGTCCAAAATACCCTGTCCCAGGTAGCCACTGAGGCAAAAAGTGTAGCTCTTGTGGTATCAAATGATACTCTAGTTGCCTTTGTCACCCCTGAAACACTTGACATTGACCGACTTGTAAAGGGGCTAGAATCGCAATTGCCAGAGTACGCTGTCCCCAGCCAAATTATACCCCTTGCTACGCTCCCAACCTCTGCAAACCACAAGGTGGACGCATCGGCCCTCGAAAAACTAATAACCCATACAGTCCCGATGGCGAGCCCGGCAGAGCTTGAGACACCTATTCAAAGGACCATGGCTGAGATCTGGGCAGATGTCCTTGGGCATGACATATTCGGCAAAATGTCTATTAGTCCAAATTCTCGATTCTTTGAACTTGGAGGTCACTCTTTGCTGCAAATAAGAGTAGCGCAGGCAATATCAAAGCAATTTAACATCCACCCTATGCCACTTAGACAGGTCATATATCATCAGAGCCTGCGGGAGTTATCCTTGGCAGTCAAGGAGTTGATTGGCTCTAGCAAAAAACCAAAGCGAGCAACACGTTTCCTGGAAACGTCTCCAATAGTACGGGAGACCAAGCTACCACTGTCGCCCCTTGAACAAGAATTATTTCTCAACCACCTAATATCGGATGGTTCAACTGCTGGGAATATGATCTTCGCGTGTAAGATTCTGGGTCAGATAGACCCAATATCATTAGCTAGAGCATTCCAGCAAACAGCGATGAACGAAGAAATATTCCAGACTCGGTACCATGTTACTGACGGTTTCATGATGCGAAACCTGGTCAAAGATGGGAGTAACATTGTCAGAGTGGCTAATACGCATGACCCAATATCACTTATACATAAAACTGCTAGAAAATCATTTGATTTGAGCAAAGAGCCGCCATTAGAGGTTATCATTATTCCATGCACCACTATGCAGGCTAGACTTTTGGTGGTGATGTCGCATGTAGTAGGAGATGCTACAACAATGGCTACATATCTTGAGCAAGTCTCGGATAGATACAAGCAGTTGCAAAACCCCAATGCTCCAGACATACACTCCAGAACGCCACAGGAACTGACATACGTCGATTGGGCTGGATGGGTTAAAACACAACAATTGAGTCTTCAGTCCCAAAATTTTTGGACCAAATACCTTTCCAATTTGCCGGAGCCACTAGCATTTGGCAGGGCTCCTGCCGGAAGCCTAACTTATACCGGCTCCACGAGGTCTTGGACTCTACCAGGTTCCATGCTTCAGCATCTTACTCTTCTTGCTATAAGAGCCTCCACCACAATGCATCAAATTGTGATTGCAGCTCTGTTCTTGGCCCTACAATGTGTAGATAGGCGCAATGATATTGTTTTTGCAGCTCCTTTCACACATCGGATGGAGCCTGGGACGGAGACAATGGCAGGGCTGTTCCTCGACCGTCTTCCAATTCGTATCCAGTGTGATCCAAACGAAATCGAATCATTACTACAATTTCTCATGGCAGTCAAGCAAAGTAGCCAACGTGCGCTGGAACACGTTGTGCCTTACCATGAAATCCGCAAACTCCTACCATACAAACCAAGCCTTAAAACCCCCCTGTTCAAAGTCATGGTAACGTACCACACTGCCTCCGATATGAAACCCGTATTGAGGCTTGAAGGGGCTGAGACTCAAAATATACCATGTCACAATACAGGAGGCTCCAAGTTTCCTCTCTCTATAGAGCTCACTGAGATTGAAGACTCGGAGGTTCGTGTTGATTTAGAATATGACCTTGGTTGTATCGTGGAAAACACGGCGGAACGGATACAGTACGCAATCGGATATACCCTACAACTTATGGTCCTGGATACAGCCCCAAACCGTATAAAACACCTAGTGGTATCGTCCTTTGGAGATTTTGATAGGTACCCACCTTCAGACAGTACAGACGGTAGGGAAGATGAGAAAAGGGGAAAGAGGGATAACGAAACAACACTGCAACATCTGAATATCAACGGCTTGGAACGCCTGGCGAGTTGTATCAGGGACACAATATGCCAATGTCTAGGCTTAGATCACAAGGCCGTGCTTCTCCACCAGTCATTCTGGGAGCTAGGAGCTCAGAGTATAGACGCAATACGGCTACAGCACATATGTAGCAAGCAGGGTTTTGGAATCAGGCTTCGGGACATATTTGATTCCAATAGTATAATGCAGCTAGCAATCTGTGCTTATGGTACCATTTAGATGATTAGTCCGAATGTCATCGTTCCTTCTCCAGAGCCTATCTCTCTAATGTATGAAACACAAAGTCACAGCGGTAAACTGGCGAATATTGCAATACCTCCCTTGGGCCGCTGGTATTGGGGATCTGCTTAGAGGTCTGTCGGAGAGCATATTCGAATCGGTGACCGAAATTTGCATCCCCGACACCGAAATTATGCGGCGCAGATTGGATTGAGACTGTTGCAATTGGACTTGGCACGAACATATATATAAGTGCAGGGAAAACCAAGTCAAGAGTCATCCCAGGAAAAGAAAGCAATAGGAATTTCTAGCAAAGGTCCATTCAAGATAAGTCAATATGGCTATCAGCACCGAATCTTTGATCTTGACACCAGCTGAGGTGAAAACACATGTCAACGGTACCCAAGGTGCAATTGTGCATGGGAAAGGAACGACGAAGATATCGAGCGGTGATAACGACAGACCTGAACTCACAGGAGAAACCTTCTCCACACCGTACGATGTCCTTACAGCTGCCCTTCCGTTACCTGCTCCAACATCATCAACTGGGTATTGGTGGCGAAAGACGGGGCCCCTGATGAGCAGACTCCTAGGGAAGGCGAATTACCCCCTTTATAAGCATTACAAATATCTTCTTCTCTACCATACCCATATCCTCCCATTGTTGGGGCCGCGACCAATTGAAAATTCGGCGCATTCATCAGACAATGAAACATGGAAATCTTTCCTGACTGATGACTATTCCCCCTTGGAGCCAAGCTGGAACGTGAGTGGCGGTTCTGATTTTCGGAGTACGATAAGGCTTGGGATTGAGCCAATTGGGTTTGAGGCTGGAACTGCCGTAGACCCATTCAACCAGGCATCAGTTGCACGGTTCTTTCAGTCTAATAATGCTGCAGAGGTTGGGGTAACGGGCAGCTTGTTTGAACACTTCCGAAACGAGCTCTTCGTCGGTCCTGAATCATATACGGCCATAAGGGAAACTCTGCCTGAGGGTGAGCACGTAACACAAAGTTTCCTGGCGTTTGACCTGGATGCAGACCGTACAACTACCAAGGCGTACTTTTTTCCTATCCTCAAGGCACTGATTACACGCCAAAGCACATTAAAGGTGCTCTCTAGATCCATTATGGCTCTTGCAAAGAAGTCCCATGTGTGGGGCGCGCATACAATCCCAGCAGTATCAATTTTGGAGGCTTGGATTGCCAGCTATGATGGAACTGCAAAAGCAGAAATGATCAGTGTGGATTGTGTGGATGATGTTAAATCGCGTATCAAAATATACGTCCGAATTCCCCATACTTCTTTGCGAAAAGTAAAGGAGGCCTATTGTTTGGGTGGGCGTTTGATGGATGAAAACACAGCTGAGAGTCTGGAGCTTCTGGATACTGCCTGGAGGACAATGTTCACAGTGACTGATGAGGACGCAGAACTGCCCCATAACAGCCATAGGACAGCGGGGACGATCTTCAATTTCGAAATACGCCCCGGAAAATGGTTTCCAGAGCCGAAAGTGTACCTTCCAATCCGTCATTATTGTGATAATGACTTGCAAATAGCGGGTAGACTACAGGAGCTCTTTGGGAAGCTTGGCTGGCATCAGATGGAGAGAGATTATCAAAGAGACTTCGAAGATTTGTTGTAAGTTCCTGGAAGATGTTTATCATCCTTGCAAAATCGATGTTAGCGTGGTCTGTAAGACGGAGATTGCTGACTTGGACGTAGTTCACACCACCCACTTTCCGCGTCAACGGGAACACACACGTACCTTTCAATTTCATACAAGGAGCAGAAGGAAGTTTACATGACCATGTATTATAGCCCGCGAGTGTACAGCACGCGGGGAGAAACGATGGACCATATTTAATGCACTCGAAGGTGGTTCAGGCTCCATTAAAGGGAGGTGTTGTGGCTTTGTTCTCTCTCGGTAGTACAATGGAGTTATTTATTCATCATGTGAAAGAGAGCCTGCAATTCAAACAAATATTGTTATTACTACTATCATCAACTGTTATATTCTCCTCCCAATGCAGAACAAGTCACAGGAAGGGACACTCTGATCATACACTCACAACTTAGTATGAATTAGGATCAGTGGGGTCAACATTCCAAAATCCCTAAAACATGTGTTAGGAAAGTAGTAGTATAGTTCAAGGACTATATCACCTACCCAGTCAAAAGTCAAAGATGGATCCTGCATATCTAGACTTCCCATGCCAAATAACGAAGATAATGGCAAGCCTTGTGTTGTCAGGTCCTCCAATATAGGCCGAGATTCTTGGAGCGACTGGGATAAATCCGCAGACTCATGATATATGTAGTAGGTATCATTTGACGGAGTCGAAGGTAAGATACTGGGAGTGTTCTTGGCTAAACAATTGGAGATAATTCGGTTAATTAAGTTCCATGTAGAACTGTGTTCCGACCCCCTTGCATCCGTTGTCTTCTTCAGGACAGCTAATGCACGAGACCGGAGTGAATGATGGGTTGGGGTCTGGAATTCCGGTGTTCCAAGCTCAGATACAATGTGCATGATTGCCTGGAAGCAGGCATGTCCCCCGATATGCCACTGGAATTTCTCTGCGTCCTTGTCATCAGGCATCATATTCATACTCTCCACCAAACTAATGGACTTTGTAAGAACACTATACTACTAGTTAGTATCATATCCAATACGATACAGAAGTATAACTAACCTCTCTCGTATCTCCGGATCCACAACAGCTTCCCGATACTGTTTTGGAGTCCGTAGCCAAAATATAGACCAGCAGCGCCATTCAATAACAGCAGCGAGACCAAGAGCCAGACGTTGTTTTGCCACATTTGGATCACAATACTGCAAGTACTGTGTTTGTAAGTGGGCAGTCATTTCATCAACCATATTTCGGATTTCAATGAATAGTGACTGAAGTTCTGTGACAGGATACATATCGTTGTTTCCATTAATGCCTAGGGACTTAAGCCGTCGTTCTAACCGATACGTGCTGCGAATAATTCTCCTAAAACAGTGAATTCCATTCAAGCGGATTAAGTGACCGGTCATATCTGTAAATCCGGGCGGTGAGTATGTCCCTACCACCAAGTGTTCGCCTTCGACAAGGTCATCATCATCAATATTCCGCGGTAAAAGAGTTGTGTAGTCCTCATCGGCTATAGTAGGTTCTTGGCCTCTACCTTCTGCAGAACGAAAGTCTAGGTAGCATATCTGATGCCATAGCCTGCGCCGAACCTCGACCTGCACGACGTCCATATTTTTTGAAGGAAATAACGAAGGCTCTCTATGAAGACCCTGTGAAAGTGCTATCCGCATCGCAAGGCCTAATAGTGTCCACGTCCTCGACATGTCATCCTCCCGAGACTGGCAAGTCTATGTTACACGGTAAGACGGAAGCATATACGATAGAAAAGGGTGAAATTAGACTTACTAATAGAAGTACAAAGGCTTGTAGAACTTCAATTCTAGGAGTCGTCAGGAAGCTTTCTTTTCCAAGGCCGTATTCCACACCTTGTTGAAACCTAGCAAGGAGCAGTCCCTTTTCAGTAGCAAAGCGCGCTTGAACAGCCTCAGGAGATAAACTGTTGATAGCGGAGTAGAATATGGCCAGAGCAAGGGGTTCAAACGTATGTATCGCAGGGTATGAAGGTTGTAGAGTACCGTTATCTGTTGAAGTCTGGGAATTGGGCCCATATATCTCCATGGTATACTGAAAAAATCGTTTTCGAAGGGAAGGTTTATGAACTAGCCTCGTCATCGGATCCACATTAGAATAAAATATATCTAGCAGTACGAAGCATTCCTCAGCGGCCTTGGGTGCCCACGGTGCTAAACTATCCATGGGAACCTCGGTAGAAAATGGAAAGGGTACAATGGTTTGTTCCAACGGCGAGGGACTGTCTGTTGAAGTACCCTGGGCATGGTCCCCAAGAAGTATTTTTACATCATGAATCTATAATCGTTAGAATGGCATAATATCAATAATATCGATGCTGAGAAGCGTAGTAAGTGATACTGGGTGTTGTACCTCGTCTGCGAGAAGGGCATAATGGAGAGATGACACCCAACGAGATTGGCCACCTTCTGCCTCCAAGAGTAGCGCGCCGTCATAGCCATCAACTGAGATGGTTTCGCACTTTAGATTCACAGCTTTGGTATCAGTTGTCTCGGAGCTTTTCCCGGCATTGGTGGGTGTCTGAGGGCCACGAGCTTGGCCGATATGCAGGTCAGGAGAGTGAGTGTTGCTGCTACCACCAGTTATTGCCCGTTCGAGCAGTCTCTCCAGCCTTTCAAGACGATTCCGAATCTCGTCCTGACCAGCACGGAGGTTGGACCGTGGTGTCCGATTGGTTGGTCGTGTGGAAGTCACAGATGCGACGGCGGGCAGATTCGACTGCGAGTTAACGTATGAACAGGCTCGATTGCCTCTTAGACATGGTGAGCACGTAGGTTGACCATGGTCACATTTAACCTTCCGACGACGGCAAGTCAGGCACGCGGCGATGGCGCGCTGCCGGCTCTTTTGTATGCCCCCCGACAAGGTCGGTTGGCCAGTCCTGACCGATGGCACAGCCCTTGGAGACGAGGCATCCATAAAAACGTGAAAAGGCTGGCAGTCAGCCGTTCTCTTTCGCTAGAGATGGTGTACGTATTCATCCAGCAACTAATTGTATAAACTGAGAGCGCCTTACATGGACGCGGATCCTGATATTGTTTGGACTTTTTGATGCCAACCAGCGGAGTCGCAACTTTGGAACCTCGCAGCTTAACTCGGTGGTTAATGAGTTAGTTGGGTTAACCAATGGCTAGTTGACTGAGTTAGCTAGTGAGTTACCGAAGTTTAGCTTCCGAAACCAGTGGGCTATTTGAGACAGGTCACGTGATACACCGTCTGCCTTTACGCGTTTAGACCTCATACGGTTTCACGATGAGATTGAGTATTAAGGAGAGGACAATAATATTCATGGATTAATAATTTAGTATAAAAAGTGGTTAAATTCTGTAGAGGTTGGAGTATATGCTGCAATGAGACGTATATACAGCGGTAAATTGGGGCGTTTGGAAACAACGTTTTACTTCCGTGTGAGAAGGCAACCAGCGGTTAACAGGCACGGAGAACAGCAAAAGGAAAAGGAATACGGACAATAAGTAGCTGCTGGCTTCATAGTGAAAATAAACATAACCTAGTCAAAAAAATGTAAGATAATTGGAACTTGAACCGTCTTGAAGCTGTTGAAAGTGGACTTGGCATCGTTTCTGGTGTTAGTTAATCTGATCACGTCTCCTCCAGTAGAATGAACATGTCAATATGGCGAACCTAATCATACAGCCACTGTAGTCATGAGAGCTTCTACCTCTTCCTTTTTGCGTTTGATGCATTGGTTCATATAGTCCCGGTCCACGATAGACAATTTTCGGTGGGTATTCCGGGTTACAGGATCAGGTATCTCCAGCTTTGAGCCATCATGTTGCAAAAAGATTGCATCATTGGACTCTTTGGCCTCTGAGAAGTCATTAACGAGGTTGTGCAGTGCATCTAGTGTTTGTTTGCCCTTTGAAAGGACCATTTTAAGGAGGACATTCTGGATTGCCTTTCCCTCTTCCTTGCTAACTTTGTAATCGCCGAGACAGCATGCAAGGATGTGAGTCTCTCCGGGAGGCAGTATGCTACTATTATTTACCGCGAGTGACTCGAACAGCTTGAAGATAAGCTCTATCGCCGAAAAGGTGAGTAAGATCAAGGGAAACGACTTATTACATGCGCCGCAGGCGATGAAATGCTCGCAGGTATCTAACGTCGACGTTACTGATTTCATAGCTAAGTCAAATCGATCGGAAATGTCACGGTTTGTTAGCTTGTGAAGTACCGCTATGTTTGTTGCTTGGGCTTGGACGCATGTACATATATCCCTTGGTAGTCCGTGGGCCGAAGAATGGTATGATTGATTTTCAAGTGTTGTGGGGGAGTTGGGCTCCGTGCCGTTGTCTGTGAAGGACTCTGCTTTGTTAGAAGATATAGGCGTTGCAAGGCCTTCTGGTCCTTCGGACCTGCTTCCCCCGGATGTATCTATAATCGACCTTAGGTCCACGGTCCACCCGTCTAAATCATGCAAGGATGACAGGCCATCATCGTGCATACCCGTAGACTTGAGCTCTGGGTTGATATTTGTTACTAGTGGGGAGAGTGGTCCTTTAGCCATAGACGCCTATTGAAATGAAACATTAGTGAGACGGAAGCCGGTACCAATAACTAGTTGACACTATAATCCAGTCCACTCACAGCGTCCCAGTGTTCGGATGCTATATACGAGGCGGGCAAAACCGTCAGAGGGTCGGGTATGCCGAAGTTCACATCTTCAAATCCTTGATTCGGGTTGCTGGGCTCCTGATTAAGAGCGGAATACAGTTCCATCCGCTGCTGCCGATGGGCTCTTTCGATGGTCTTGCGATTCTTGCATCCCTTGGGTTTCCCTGCTCTATTTTGATATCCGTAGCGACAGGAGAGGCCTTTAGATGCGCAGCGGAAGCATGGAGAACCCCCAGAGCATTTGACTTTACATTGATGACATGAATCACAGGCAGACCGCAATTTTTGCTTCTGCTCTGTTTCTCGTCGTGGCCGTAGTGGTACAGGCTGTTCCCAGGGAAGCATTTCGCCAGCCATCTTTGTGTAATATGTACGCTGCGTTTTAACGTGCAAGTAGGAAGAAAGTCAGTGGCACAAGAGCAGTGGGGGTAACTTGTACTCTTATGAAAACAGGCTAGATTAGATGGCTCGAAATCCAAGACCCCTGGGAGATGGAACTGGAAAGGATTTGGAAAACAAATCTGGGGCGCCATGCGATTCCCATGGATACGCCTAGCTTCTATGTATGCCCATAAAAAAATAATACGAGAACGCAGCGAGGTTGCTGATACGAAGGGAAGCTGCGGCCTCGTGGAATGACAGGGGTTTGATAGGCGTCAGACAAAAGGGAGAATTAAGTGTGGAACCGCTACCATGGCCGTCAGAGATAAGGCCAGGCTATTGCAGATCAAGGCTGGCAATCAAAGTAGCTGATAGTTTCGATTTATGCTAGAGCATCAACCGCAAACACACCCACAGCCAGGAATGGGCAAATAAGACAACAAGAGCCTCAGTGCATGGAGGAGGAGGAAACGAAGCCTTGACGCGTAGTTGGGCTATCGCCTATCATTGTTCATTGTTCTCATCCTGCAGGATAAGAGTAATCCCTGCCCCCAGCATAATAAAACGCCGAAGTCATAAATGTCATAGATATGCAGTATAAATCCGTCTGTAATGGGGTTTAGAGGTAGTTTTTAGCCTTCACAAGCTTTGTCGCTTTGGTTACCTTGCGATAAGTTGATGAAAACATGGAGTGGTTTTCCATATATCTCAATCATCCTATAATTCTCCATCGTGCTCAAGTGGATTGTATTGATTAGTTGTCCATGGTCTGTTGCCTGAATTTCGGCATGCAGGATCACAGCCTTTTGAATCCTATAAGGGTTTCAGCCTTTCTGGCACTTGGAGATGAACATCAACAGTGTGACGGGAAAACACAATTGGCATATAGAACAAGATGGTATTGAAGAAAGCTGAGAAAGTGAGCAGCAAACAGGCGAGAGGCTAACGCAGCCCAGGAATCCGGGGTCGCAGACTGGAAGCGAGAGGGAGCCGGCAAGGAGAAATCCAGCGAGCGGGAAAGAGGCGAGCAACAACCAAATATAGGAGTTTGGAGAATTTGCAGGGCCCGAAACAGGCAGAAATTCATTTATTAAACACTCTTCAGGCAGCGCGGAAGCGAGGAACTCAGCAGGAGCCGTGGAAGGACGTCGGAAAAAGGTTGTCCAACCAGGAAAAATAAAAATAAAGCCAAAGATAAAAAATAAGGAGCTGGGACCCACTTGGCCTCGGCCGAGCCTCGCGGGATGCCAAGGCCCGAGCAGCGGACCCACCCAGTCAACCTCGGCCGAGCGCCAAGTCCTGCCGCGGTGGGTCGCCAGGCGACTTTATGTCGTGGTCAGGTGATGACCCGCGAGCACCGAGCTCTGTTCACTGCGCCATGGCTATCTACGAGCCCCTTATAAGCCCGCTCTCGGGCAAACACGTTTGCATGCGAACCGAATAATTGACTCCTAGCTCGCCAGATTGAAACGGAATCAGTCGGTATGAGCTGGCAAGGCCGAGTATTGGGAGACCAACCCGAAGCCGAGATGTCATGGCGACCTCTCTACCTTAAAACGATACCCTTTGCCGTGGCTGTACTTTGCATCTTCTTTGTATCCCAACGTCTAGCCGCCAACCCAAGTCGATACTATCTAGGATGCCGACTTCTCTAGCTGATGACCCTCCATCTAAAGAAGAGGCTGAGTCTACTCCTGACAGTGCAAAACGTGTTGACCGTGTCCCTCCAAATGGGGGTGCGAAAGCATGGGCATGTGTTGCCGGATCCTTTCTCTTGCAATTCTGCTCCTTTGGCTATGTGAATGCGTAAGTATTCCCAGGACACCTGAATATGGGTCTTTGAAGGGCGTTATTACTTACTTTTGTAGTTGTGGCGTTTTTCAGTTGTACTATCAGCAAACTATGTTCAAGGAACAAGGCTCATCAGCTTTAGCCTGGATTACAACCCTCCAGATATTTTTGCTCTTTTTGTTTGGCCCGGCGGTTGGGAAGTTGATTGACGTGTATGGATGTCGGAAGATGCTTCCCCCTTTCAGCATCATGGCAGTCTTCGCCGTCTGCATGCTTAGCCTCTGCAAGGAATACTGGCAAGTCATGCTGGCCCAAGGCGTTGCTTTTGGATTTGCTGCTGCTGGATTATCTCTTCCCGCGATGGCCACGGCTACACAGTGGTTCTCAACTAAAAAGGGCCTTGCGGTTGGAATTGTCTCCGCTGGTAGCAGCCTTGGGGGAATCATCTACCCATGTATGCTTCCTCGGCTAATTGAAGAGGTCGGCTTTGCCTCAGCCGTTCGCTGGACTGCCCTTATGCAAGGGATACTCCTGATTGCTGCCAACGTTCTCTGCTCTTCGCCCTTTCCTCCTCTAGGCAAAGACTGCAGCCGAGAAGGATAAAATTGCTCTTCTAGCAGCGGACTACAGG